GTTTCCTTTTTTTTTTCTGTTGGCAGCCACAACAATGATACGACTGCAAAGAAGGCTTTGGACATGGGCGTCGCGAGGAGGCGGGGGGGGGGGAGGAAAACAAAGAGAAAAAAAGGAAAGAAAAAGAGGCGCAATGTAATATTGCTGTAAATTTAATGGGTTGGGAGGAATGTCCCTGTCCCCTCTAAAAAATTAAATCGAGAATATGTTGAGAAATATGTTTTGCTCCCCCCCCCCGATGAAAAAAAGAAATTAATCCGTAATAACGAATTAAAAATCCGTAATAACGAATTAATAATCCGTAATAACGAATTAAACAATCCGTAATAACGAATTAAAAATCCGTAATAATGAATTAATAATCCGTAATAATGAATTATACAATCCGTAAAAACGAATTAATAATCCGTAATAACGAATTACTAATCCGTAATAACGAATTACTAATCCGTAATAACGAATTACTAATCCGTAATAACGAATTAAATAACCCGTAATATTATTACGGGTTATTTAATTCGTTACTACGGATTACTAATTCGTAATTACGGTAATAACGAATTAGTAATCCGTAATAACGAATTGAATAATCCGTAATAACGAATTAATAATCCGTAATAACGAATTAAATAATCCGTAATAACGAATTAATAATCCGCAAAAACGAATTAAATAATCCGTAATAACGAATTAATAATCTGTAATAACGATATAATATAATTCGTAATAACATATACTTGCAGTGGCGCTAATGGGCTTTCGTATTAACGCTGTATACATTTTTTATTGCACTTTCAGTTTTTTTTTAACCAATCTGTCTACTGTTTCGAGCTGTATTTGTCTATATGCTCATCCGAGTATCAGAACGAGTAATAAAATGACATTGAACATTTGCATGGTGTGAAATATGTCTGTGTCGAATCGATTTTCGTTTGCATTTTATACGCCGACTAGATTGCCGTCTGCTTCATGTCATTGTAATGCATCCGTCACTAAGACAGCTAGCTGCGGCTTTCTTCCTGTATCCTGATTCGACACAGTTATAGATTTATGTCGTATACATGGTGTTTTTTAATTCCAACGTGTGAGTCCTTTTACGTATTATATTGTTTGCTGTGAATTATAACTTCCACTCCACCTCACAAACAATCCTCCCTATTCCACTTCGCTTTATATATTAATATGAAATGTGATACTGAATATTAACTAGATAAAATTGTTACTGAGTTTAACTTAAATAATCGTGTTTTCATAATTCACGCCACGACGACACCTAATAGAAAAACAAACGCTGATGTAAACCACAGCCAGGCACCAGACTATTCCTAATTTGCATACGTGTGTAAGATTATTGAACATGCCAATGATCCAATGGTGAGAGAGCAGGTGGGAGCGTACTGCTCGACACCATGGGAACGAGGTTGGTACAGCTCTCGTTTTAGCACACCGTGTACTGGCTGCAAATATTTCTTTGCACCTCGGTATATAAGCGTACATTATTTTGTAGAACATGTCACGTGAAGAGCTATGGCTTATATTCCCTAGCGACAAGTGTGGTTTCGTTGTAGCCTGCTGCTTTAAATCACTGGTCGGAATGTTGTATTATGGTTCGAATCGAGAATTTTACATTATTATTATTATTATTAATGTTAATGATAACAAAAACTTTAAACAACTTACTGAGCTCAGTAATCAGTTGACCAATCGATAACCTCCACCCGTCGCAATGTACAAACTTCACCAGTTATCTTGTTTACGCATTCCGGTTTAAAGGACACAAAATGCGAATATTCCGGAGTGCACCAGACGTTCGCCAAACATTATACTCAAACACACCGAAGCGAGACCGGAATTAACCCAAGCATAAATTAAGTAGGGTCGCCTGCTATTCAACTTGAACGTGACACATGTACGCGGTGACTCAACAGATCATGCTTGCGTATAATGTGCAAGGCAAATAATCAGAAAACCAGTGGCTATCATCGTCAAATATTAGCCCAAAGATATGATGTTTCCCCACTAAACACTTAAACATTGTCCAAGCACGTACGCGCATTAATAATTAATACAGGGTGAGTCAAAAAAAAGCGGAACCCAAACCCCCAAAAATGTATTTCATATTTAAAAAAATATGTAGCACCCAAAATAATAATGACTGGAAAGCCAATTTCAAAAGCTACTTTTATATGAAAAAAATATTGAAATTGCTCAATCCGTTCGAAGAATATCACCATTTAAACGCAATGACCCTAAAACCTAATTTATTGTGTGTTATTGTGTGTTTTGGAATAACACAAAAAATGACACAGAATACTTGCTATAACAACTGTCACCAGCTGTAGCACACAATATTTTGATTAACAACCCTGGTTAGGCAAGCAATATAATTTAGAAAATCTACTTTTTTAAAAGACAGGCCTTCAAAAGGTCTTTGTAGCATAATATTAACGTTTAAACTAGGATTTCATCGCTGGTGATGTTTGAAGACAATTGTGACAACGATTGTTGAAATCGCATTTTTTGGACGAGACTGGTTTTAGAGTTGTGTGTAAATGGTGATTTTTTTAACTGATTGACCAATTTCAGTAATGTTTTCATCCAAAAGTAGCTGATGCAATTGGCTTTCCAGTCATTATTATTTTTGGTGCTACATATTTTTTAAATATGAAATATAATTTGGGGGCTTGGGTTCCGCTTTTTTTGACTCACCCTGTAATATTTCTCATCTTTGAAATTCCCCGCACGCAATGTATGTGTAAAAGTTCGGGTCAGTGTATATTTTGCTAGTCATGTACGTGTATCACGTGAGTCTGACATTAAAGGGTTCATGAGATGAATTTTTCTCAAGAAACAGTTTGTGAAACTCTCTAATCCTCTTAAATATATGAAGAGTATTCGACATCCCTTTTTGGTCAATTTGATTGAAAAGTGCACTTCTTTGAATCATTTACATTTTTCCATGCTCTTCCGGACGCTAAGGTCGCCGTTGCTGTGAAGTTCTTCCAGGAAGCCACTGTTCAGTTTTATAGATTTTCTGTTCAAAATTTGAACCCAAACAATTATTCGTTGAAAACGTTTGTGAGAAAGGTCTGCTCATTGGCTTACTGCCATGTGACACAACAACGAATTGCCAAAGTAAAGAATAATTACGACAGCAAAACATCCAAACACTGGCAACTTTTGATGCTGAAATAGCCAAGACGCATAGCAACCAATAAAAATATCAGAAGCAAAAAAGTAAGACTCGCAACTATGGTTGGATTTGTTTACAAATGTTAAAATTAAGATTTATTCAATGCATCGATATTTCTGACAGTAAAATGACAATATGAAAAGACAAGTAAACATATAGTATTGAGTTGCTCTACCCGTAGCCGCTGTACTCTTTGTTTCCCAACGAATTCTCAATGTATGTGTTATTTGAACTGAAAAAAAGTTATTTTTTGTTATTTTCTTATTATCATTTATTTGGGACGTTTTCAATCGTCGGAAATATGTTTTTGTTTTATGTTACTTTCGCGTCCATATTAAGCGCATAAAAAGATACACCTAAATTATTGTCAGGTCTTAAATACCTCGAAATTCGTTGAGTAAATGATTCAAATAAACGTGGGTGTATTTTTTTGTCGATTTCTCGTTCAAAAGGGAATAACATTTGTATTGCTAAGAAAATATACATTTATACCGACTGATTTGAAAGCAAATTTTATTTTCGGGGTGAAACTCGAAAACAGTTCGGGAGAGTAACATTAAACAGTCCTTGAAGTGAAAATCCACAATGCAACTATTGTTTGTGCCTAAACTATGCGTAATGAGGTTTTAAGGAACAGTAGCATACGGGGTTTCATTTTTCCAACTGTGCCTTTATACACACAAGCCGTGAAATTTACCAATGAAAAATTAGTTTCAACAAAAAAATGAAATGCATAGAATTGTTAAAACATGTATACAAAATAAAAAAATAAAAAAATAAAAACAATACAAACCAAAAACAAATTAGGGAAGACTTTACCATGTATTGGATCTAAACAAATTTGCATAGATATAAACAAGAGCCTCCACTTCAATCTCTTTCCTCGATTTTTCTATTGTTTTTAAACATCACTATAAACCTACACAAGACTTATACTACGTCAAGTTCAATGGATATCTTTTAAAAACAACTGAAGTTCCCATCGTACATTTGAAGTAAATCCTTGCATTACATTAATTTTGTGTGCCTTCCCTGCGAAACTCAGAGACTTTTCTTAATTAGCTCGTAGAACCATTTGCAATATCAACATTGAATGTCCACTAATTTTTAGATGTATCTATAAAATAATGATCTATCATTCTACCAAAAACGTCTGAATCCCAAACAAAAAGTACAGTAAGTTGTTTACTGTCGTTGAGAGACAGTGTTGATTGTAAACAACTATGTGGAGTTCGTCCGCTGAAGAATTACACATCCGATATTAATCGTTGCGTAATTTGAACATTAAAATGGGTCATTCTAATACGGTTACATTTTGACAATGAATATTAGCCACAAACTTGAAACGCCTGAAAAAAACTCATTCTAAGCAATTCTTTAGGATCAAAATATGTTGAATAGTTCGCAATGTAAAATATTATTTAACCATTATACTATGCATTATTTTAACTATTACGAAAAGGGCATATTTTGCTTACAATGAAAATACAAATCGAACTACGTACTTTTAAATGATATGTAAAACACCAAAAATCTACTGATACCACCAACTGTGTAAGAAATTATGGTATAGTGTACAAAATAGTACATATAATATACGTCGGGGTCCCAAACAATAAGTGCAAAGTATTTCAAAGTCATTGAGACTAAATACCTTTGGTATGTGGAGTTCGTTACTGAATACTTACATGTCAGATCATGGGCGTCGCGAAGGCCCCCCCCCCCCCTCCGGACCGGAAAAATGATAAATTGAGAATATAATGAAACAGTTAAGGAATTTTGGGGGAAAATTTGCTTTGTCCCCCCCCCCCTTGGAAAAAAATCCTGGCGACGCCCATGTGTCAGATATTATTCTGTTGCGTGATGTGAAGGTAAACAGGGATCACAATGAGGCCCCACTTGACAATGAACATTAAACATAAACTTGAAACGATATTAAAATACGCAAATAATCTACTGGATACAATAACTCAAACCTATTGTGTAATTTATGTTGTGTTCCAAGTATATGAAGTATATTATAAATCATTTGTATCTTTTATTTATATGTCATGAAATCCATACATTTCACTATGTCAAGAAAGGGATACACAGTTATAATGCCTGTCTACAGCAGTTTTCTCAAGAATATAAATTGTTATAATCTGTAATATAATGAATGTAAGTAAAAGATCAATATTTTAATACCATCAAATTGAATTTTGGAAATATGCTCAACAAGTAGGCCTAGGTGAAAATTGCTGTGAAAAGTGGGTTTCCTTCTTTTTGCACCACCGTGTACAGTAAAATTGAAAATATATACAAACGCCGTGTAGCAATCAATTCCAAAGTTTCTTATCAAATTAAAACACGTATTAATAATTGTTCCAGCTTCAAACGAAGTAACAATAACAATACATTCCATTTCTCCAAATCAACATCATCGACTTGAATTAACAGTCTCAGATATATCTATATACGAAAAACGCTGCTCGAGAAATGACCTCCTTTCATTGTCCATGGACCCGATTCCCGACAGTACATGTCATAATTTACTTGTTTGAATCATTTGGGGTGCAGTCTGATATTTACATTAGGCCCATCATTTCAGGGCTTTGTCCATTGCTGGATATACGTACATTTTGGCTATCTTCGGACGAAAAAGACCTTTAATATTACTGTTGCCTTTCACTGGCGTACCGATATAAAGGACTGTTAGCACAGTAATTATTACACATCTGACTACGCACACTCTCCTGTAAAACCAAATATACGGCCAACACAAGTTCAAACGTACTTACATAGTCTTAGGTACAGTTTGTTGATATTCCAATATTAACGCTTAAGTTAAAATCCCAATTGTTACTTAGTACATTTGTTGTGTTTTAATTTGCAAGTAAATATTAAGTAACGTTTACACTCCGGAATTAGATTCTAAATATCTAATACTCATACAAATCTCATCTAGTTTAAAAACAAATGAGCTACTGCATATTCAATTAAACGAAACTTAGTGTGAATATCTTTTCAGAAACAAGTACTGGTAAAAAGAACTAGGCTCATACGCCTAATACGCTACGCTTTCACTATAATATTGATTATATTGTATACACCATTTTCACTTATTAGCGCCAAAAAACACCCGAGCACAATTTGGTTTTATTGATTGATTATTCAGTGAATAAACACAATGTAATACAGTGTTGTAATAAAATGAAAATTGGTCAGGTGCACTCTGCGCCTGTTACACGCACACGTGCGTATGTATACCACGTGACTGCCACACGCCACTCTTTCGGGGTGCGTTCGAGTGTGTTACTCTTGCTACTCCCGAGTGCAGGAAAATGTTGCGTGCGCATTACTCTCGGTGCAAGAGTATTCTCCCGGTATGACGGAGAGCATACTGAACCCGCACAAATGCCACGGTTCCTGCACATTACCTCACGTGAAGGAGTTAATCGCAAGCCAATTCTACCTTTGATTGGCGTTTGATAACTGCGTTGAGGACGCAGTTTCAGATTCTAGTCAAATCAACAAGTCTAACTGCTCTTTTGTTTTAAGCACTCTGGGCAGGCAATTGGTTCCTGGCCTCCCCCTACTTTGCTGCTGCCTTCCTCTAGATGGAAAACGTGACCTCGACGACATCTCATCCATTTGCCCGCGGTAAATGACAAGGGTGTCGTAGCGCCATCATTCTTCTGCAAAGCTATGCTATTTTGACGGCAAATATGTCTGGCTGTATTTATCGACTCTCTCATGATCTGGAGAACACCATCATAACGGGAACAATGGCGAATTGGCTCCTTGCATTTCGGACACAGGACGTACCGAATCTGAAAGCAGCCTTTATCAATGGTGTTCTTGACAGCTGCAACCGTCCTATCCAGGGACTGCACCTGACACGGGTGCTTACAGTCTGGGAGATAGACGTACATATCCCTGGGATGAAACTGTCCTTTGGGTAAATTGGTTCGAACACTCTTTTTGTCGCAGACATTGCAAAAAGGAGGGCACGGTTCACCGCACACACCAATGCAGGGATGTTTGCATTTCAGTTTTTGGTTGCAAGGTCGGAAACATGCATTCGTCTTCAGGTATCGATGTGTGACATTGTGTTTACAAGGTGAAGATGACGTCAAATCTTGACTGGAACCCTGTCTCAAGTCATCACGGCATCTCCTACAATCTGGGGAGCAACAGCCACCACATGAGCCAGTGCAATTGTGGCCACAGAGGAGCTGCCTGTTGCATACTTTAGGACACGGTTGGTGTTGTGTTCCCTGCTTACAGCTGTCACAATTACCAGTGCACCTATGACCACACTTAAGTACAGCACCGCATGGAAAATTACACGGTATATGAGCAGAAGACTCTGCCTTCCAGCAAGGCATGGATTTAGTCTTGTGACCGCATGGTGGAGCTTTCTGGACCACAACTTCGCATCTTTCTCGTGGGCCTGTACGTTTTCTGTAATTTTTGGAACCTTTCGTGGCTCTCAACTTAAAGGTCCTATCCCCAGGGCATGGCTCGATGCATTTATTTGGACATGGGTGACCGCACGGAAGCACCTTCTCACATTTCTCTGTGCAGACGAACGAACTGACATCCGCGGAACAGCGAACGCTCACGTCGTGATCACAGCCCGGAAGCTTCTTTTTCACCTCTTCTTGACACTTGGTCTTAATGCCCCACGGCGACTTCCGTATTTTTTGTGATTTTACCGGTGGACAGGGTTCACCACATTTATTTGGACAGTTGTGTCCGCAAGCCAGTTCCCTTTGACACTTCTCCTGACACACTGACAAAAGGTACGCCCTGACATCCCTCGGGTGCCCAAGAACACCCTTGAGAAAGGTTTCGTCATCCCGTTGTCTCTTCGGGCAAACTTCACTGCATTTCCTTGGACAGCGATGGCCGCATGGAAGCACCTTCTCACATATCTCTGTGCACATGAACGAACTGACATCCATGGAACAGCGAACGCTTACGTAGTGATCACAGCCCGGAAGCTTCTTTTTCACCCCTACTCGACACTCAGTCTTAATGCCCCACGAGTACTTCCTTATAGCGTCTGATTTTACAGGTGGACAGGGTTCACCACATTTATTAGGACATTTATGCCCACAATCAAGTTCCTTCTGGCACTTCTCCTGACACAATGACCTAAAGTACCCGCTTACATCCCTCTGGTCTCCAAGAAAACTGTTTAAAAAAATTTCTTCGTCTTCATCGCAGTCGGAACTTTCCTCGGAACTTTCCTCGGAATTTTCCCTAAAATAGAAACGCCTCGCTGTCAAAGGGGATTCAAGAAGTTTCTTGAAAATGGTCAGGCTTTTTGTATTTTCTGGCGGACATTTTTCACAGCATTTCCTTGGACAGCGATGACCGCAAGACAACAACTTTTCGCATTGATCAGAGCACGGCACATCCGAAATGTCCTTGTGGCAGGGAACCGTCACGCGGTGGCCACAAGATGTGTAGGTCCTTTCCACAGGTTCGTCGCATGTTTTGACATTCATTCTAAATCGATAACGGTAGTGTGACGGTAACTTACAAGGTATACCACAGACATTTGGACACCTATGCCCACACTCAAGCATCTTCTCACATCTTTCCTTGCACGTGTACGGATCGTCTATTGAAGGTAAGTACATGTACAACATTTCAGCCAACTTCTTCTTATCTGGTTTTGCGCCACAATCCATGCGAACAGTATGGCCACACTTGGTCAGTGTCCTGTCTACTCGAACTTTACAATACCGAGTACATAGATCACCGCAAGCATTTCTACATGAGTGGCCACATGGCAGCGTTCTCTTGCACTTTTCAGGACAGTTCTCCAGGCAGATTTCACAGCACAGTTTTCGACACTGATGCTGACTATCATGGCAGAACCTTGGACACGGCTTAGGACATGTGATACTATCATATTCATGACAGGAAACTTGGATCACGTGACCGCAATCAGACATCGTTTTGGTAAGTTCCACGGGACATTTACACTCTTCGTGGCATTCAAGCGGACATGGATGTTGTCGCTCGCATTTTCTAACGCATGGCTTTTCACACGTGTATTCCTCATGGTCAGTGTCAAAGGCATGACACAGTAAAGCACAAACATGACCACATGGAAGCCTGACATCACAAGGTACATCACAACCCCCAAGAGGAACCTTTTCCATGAAATCCTCCTTCGAGGTGACCTGTGTGATTTTGTTGGGATGATTTCGGCAGACCAATGGCAATGAGGCCCCGATCCGATTGTCAGCCTCCAGGGTAGTAAAGATGTCCTGCCAAATATGTGCCTTCTTCAAGATGCTCCCGTTGCCCATGCAGTAAAAACCCATCCGAGCCCTGGACAGCGCAACACAGACGCGATTCTTAGTGCGCAGAAACCCGATGGATTCTTCCTCGTTGCTTCGTACCAGAGACAAAAGTATGATGTCATTCTCTTCTCCTTGGAAATTGTCTACAACACAAACTCTAACCCCTTCAAAGGTTGCTTTATCCATAAGACGCCTGAAGCAGAACATTTGTCCTGTGTAAGCAGTGAGTATGGTGATCTGAGAGTTATCGTAGCCCTGTTGTAATAAGTATTTGCATAATCCAACAAGAACCTCAGCTTCGTATTGATTGGATTTAGTTTTGCTGTCGCCACTTTGACTTTCAAGGTGTTGATGATCGATGAAGAACATGTTATGCGCCACTCCCTTGACGTTGTCCATTTTCAAAACGGATTGGTCGTCGTAGAGATTCTTGTAGAAGTATTTCTTCATCAACTTGGATATTTCAGGCCTCATTCGGTGTTGGTGAGTGAGCGATCGACAAGGCATACCATTGTTGATCATTCTCTCAAACAGAGAGGTATCCAAGTTGAACTGCTTCGCCAGGCGGTAGACAGTTGGGTTTGGCTTCAACTGCTGATGGTCTCCGATCAGAATGAGATGCTGACATTTTTCAGTCAGGCTGGTGATAATGTGAGCCTCAAGAACCTCAGCAGCCTCCTCCACTACTACAATACTGGGACAAAGACGCTGCAACACGGCCCGACATTTTGCTGCCCCAGTGGTCGTCATTCCGATAACCTTCGCCTTTTGAAGAATTTCAAGATCTTCCTCTCCATTCATAGATTGTAACGTTTTTAACAGGTTATCATGCACCTGGCGTTGCTCTTGGAGTTTTGCCTCGTGATCCCTCAAATATCTCTTGACCCAAAATCTGTACAAACGCCAGCGATTCCATATTTTGAGAGACCAGACACGTTCCACACCTGCGGCTTCCCCTTCCGTCATCACATCAGGCTTTTGAAGCTCCACAATTGGCTCCACATCACGATTTTTGCCACAACGTTTGTTGCATTTCAAACCATACGCAGCGTTTTCACGATAAGTCTGCTGCTCAATGGTTATTTGACGTTTTTCATTAGTAATGTCTAAGTCGTCCATATCGTCGACCTGACGCTCCAACTGAATCCGTCGTCCCTCATCATCTACCTGGATATTCTCATTTGCTTCAATGACGTCCAGCCAGTTCAAGAGCTTCTGCTGATCTTCTTGAGGTTCCTGACCTCGCTGGCGTTGTATCAAAAGAGCTCCGTATTCCGAACGACTCATGTACCTTTGTAGTGCCCAAACGTTCAAGAGGACCTTGGTAGGCAGTTCAATTTTTAGAAGCAAAAATGTAATTGCCTCAGTTGTAGCTTGCAGGTGCATTTCTACTTCTCTTGGATCTTTCCAACCCCTCCGTCCTCTGCCTCTCCCTCGAAAAACACCTTTCTGCAAATTTAAAGCTTGTAACTGCTTTGATAGGTCATCATGAATCTGGCGTTGCCTTTGAAGTTCCACTTTGTGATCTTCCAAATACCTCTTGACCCATAATCTGTATAGACGCCATCGATCTAGGATCTTTAGAGACCAGACACGTTCAACGGTGTTAGCCTTCTCATCAGTCATCACTTCAGGCTTTTGAAGCTCCTTGACCGGATCCACATCACGGTTTTTACCACAGCGTTTAGTGCATCGCAGATCGTACGCTGCATTTTCGTGAAAGATCTCGTCTTTAATGGTTTGATCGTTTCTCTCTTCAATGATACTAAGCCAGTTTAACAACTTCTGTGGATCTTCTTCAGATGCATTGTCTCGTCGATGTTGTAGTAAGAGAGCTTCGTATTCTGAACAGGTCATGTATTCTCGCAAGGCCTTGACGTTTAGTAGGACCTTCGTTGGCAGTTCCATCTTGAGAAGTAGACGTCGAATTATCTCATCACCCTCCCGTAGTTGTCTCAAAACAGTTCCAACTTCACGTGGACATGTGCGCTTTTCCTTTCTTCTATTCTGTCTTATGTAAGAAAGGTTCCTGTCTCGTAGCAACTCACTATTACTTCGACCTCCAACGCGAATTATCCGGCGTTCACCAAAGTGATGGATTCCTTCTAGAAATTGGTCCAGAGCATGGTTCGTATAACATACTACTAGAATGGGCGCCTGGGGCGGAGCACCACCTCGAACTTGCATCCCTTCATCCAGTCGAGGATGAGACATGTTGTGAAGGAGAAGCTGTACAATCTTAAGGCCAATGTAGGTCTTTCCTGTCCCGGGCGGGCCTTGAATAATTGCGAACTCCTTCGCCAATGCTGTTTGCAGAGCAGCTTTCTGTGACTCATCAAGATGCAAGTCTTCTGCACTTGGCCAGGATTCCATCTTCAGAACCGGGATTTCAGTCGCCTTACTTGACTTCTTATCAAGTATCGTAAGGTCATACGTGACAGAATCCTCATCACTTAGGTCCTTTTCAGACGGACGACTAGCATTGAGGTATGCTGGTGGGTCAACAGTGGAAGCCACATCTACCATATATTTCTTGAAAGGAAAATTGTGTTCGTTAATCTGCTGGAGCCCCTCAAGCACGGGGCGACATGCCTCAAAATAAGCTGCTGACTCTGCCATAATGTATGGACCTTCCAACAGATTACGAGTCTCATTCAGGAAGCGAACATCAACTCTACCACAGACTAAAGCCTTAACGTCTCTGTTCTCCACCGTTGCACAAATAATGTGCTGGAATTTATCTTTTGTGAGACAGACAAAAGAACCATACAGTAAACGCTTACTTGATTCCCAGTGGTAACGTTGGAAAGGCTTCGTGTCAAAGGCCAATGTGTGAATCAAACTGCTGTAACCCATCTTACGATTCAGAATACGGACATTGTTGTAGATGCGGATGTCTTGAAGACGGCTACTGGTATCTAAAAGGAACTCAGTTACACCTTCCCGTAGAGGTGCCACAAAATCCTCCCTCAACAACCGGAACTGAACATCAAGGTAGTGTTCAACGTTCTCGTATGTGCCTTTGATGATGTTCTTTCTCAGGAATGGTTTTGTGACTTGCCGTATCTCCCTGCTCTCCGGGAAGATTGGGATATCTCTGAAGTTGTTTGGTGGCGGTTTCTCCGAGGCGCGCTCCTTTGCTGTTCGCTGAGCCTGTTCCACTGCGTGGTAGCTAATCTTCAATTGCTGAAGGTCTACCATAAGGCATTCTGACGTTACAACCTTCTCCAAAAGAATCAAAGCCCCGCCTACTTCAGAGTAGCTACTCGGCTTGTTCTGCAGGAATAACCGAAGTAATTTCACAACCATACCAAGCATATGAACATCGTTGTCATTCTCGCCGTCGATTTCACTAGGTTCCTCGATCGGTAAACAAACCAAAACCCTCGTCAGGTGTTTACTAAAAAACAACGAGGACTCAACCATGGTCAGTACCACGTTTAATTCTTCAATGTGCGCTGACACAGGATCTAAGGAGCACAAGATTGATAGAACCTGTAGTATTAATTGCAATGTATTGTCACTGATTTGGTCTTGATTTAATAACGCCATGCATTCATCTTTCTTTTCCACAAGTTCAGAGAGGACAACGGAGGGTTTTCCTTCCAAGAACTTCTGCAGTTGCTTCTCAGTGAATGGGAGCGTCTTAGTCTTAGGCTTGACTTGGTATGGCTCTGCAGGGATACTCCCTTGTACAGTGGTGTCCAGTTTTGGCTGCAATTCAGCTATGTGACCATTAGCTGAGCTTGTGGCTGAAGTGTCACTGTAGGACATACAATGCAGCAATTATAACAAGCTGAAATTAGTATTAAGATTTTAATGCTTCGGAATATGACTAGGTAAATAAAAGTATTGGCCGACTAGCCATCGAGCTGGTGAAAGTTGTTTTTATTTACCTAGTTAATGCCCTGTCTTCCTGAAAATGTACTCCTTGAAACGTTCTGAGAATTAGAGCTTAATTGCGTGGTAAATTGATAAATATAATGTAACGTAGATGTTTTTAAAATCTTATTTTGGACTCTTTTTTAGAAACTACTTGATTAGAGATAGGTTGAGAAATGAAACAACACGATATCAAACTTACCAGGTCGGTGCATTTTTGTTCCTATCTTCTTGTCTCTCTGTATCCATGACAAATGGTATGCTTTGCATTTGATGTGTGGTCTCAGACTGATCATCAGGTGCATTTCTGGTCTTCGTCCCCGGGTAGACTCCATCAAGACGTGCTGTTTCGCTTCTGTGGTGCACGAGAGGACCTCTACGGTACGGTTGGTAACTCTCTCTATCTGCTCCATCTCGTGCCTCAAGCTTATAGTGTGTTGACCGTCCTCTGTTGTTGCCCGCATCAAATCTTCTGAATCCCCCACGGTACTGAAACGTTTGTCCGTACGAATGCCTCTTTCGAGTTGGCTCGGCAGATTTCTGAAACGACACCTCTTCTTTCTGTTGAGTTGAATCACCGCGACCTTTTATTGCTCGTTGTTGCTTATAACCTCCCCTATTGATAGTTTGCTCATGACGATCCCTCTGTAAGCGGGGAGAGGTTTTAGGTCTAGCACCGGTTATGTTTGGATCAAAGTCATCTGTGCGCGTTGCATAGTTGGTAAAATCATCAACACGTGCGTGGCCATGATTAGGTCTTGAACTCTGGCGCCTTCTCTCCACTTCGATACTTCTCCTCTCATAAGTCACTTTGTCATCTTCAGAACGGACAGGAGGTTGATAGGATATCTTACCGCGAGACCAACCGCCGAAAGCCATGACTGAAATAGAGCGGAAATATAAATTCTAATCATTTTAATGTCAACATTTATCATTAGTAATTATCTGATTTTTAAAGTTTCAATCAATGAAAGAATGTCGACCATACATACTAGAGATAACTTTTATTTACATGATGCTGGCTGGTTTCATGGTATGCTTCTACATGTACTTTAATTACACGGTTACCTCTGGTCGTAATAAGTTTATTATAAGAAACGTTAATCGCGTGCGAGCAGTGAATCAAAGTTTGGGCTGAACTGCATTCATATAATTCAAAATTATTCAAATAGATCGATTTTGGTAAAACTATTTATTTTTTTAAGCGCAAGCAACTGCCGCAGGTGTCTCTGCCAGTCAGGCGCGTACGCAGGGGGGGGGGGGGGGGGGGGGGGGTTGGCTGTTAAACACCCCGCTTTGCCATGTCAAAATATGGAGGGAAAGAGAGTGCCAAAATAAGAAAATAAAGAAAGGGAGAGAGATTTTCTTTTATTATTTCCATGGAACAAATTAAAAATAAAAAAAATTAATGAATACCAAGTATGAAACGGGCGAATTCGGGGAATTTATTGAATAAGTTCCAAAGTGTATTAAAAAACAATCGTCAATTGATATGGTACGTATGCATTCCGCGCACTGTTTTTATATAGAGATCAGTGATTCCGCGTTTGCACGTACATGGATGTACGTGACGTGGGCTAACTAGCAACGCGCACCCATCGCATGGAAGCGCAAGCCCGCGCGAACATAGGTCAGGGCCCGCCCAGGGGCCAGCACCTGGGCCTAGGCTAGAACAAGGCGCAGATCGACTTTGGTTGAGAATAATTGTATTACACTGTAATTAACGTACGCGCGCGTACGTACGTATGGCTAGTACTGTACGTGCATGCATAGCTAGAGTCCAACCATGAGCTCAGCTGCGTACGTACAACGATAACGTCAACGCCGGTATGTAAACCCCTTTATATAACTGACATACAGATCCTAGTCATTTGATTGGTGGAACTCACATCACGTGGCATTCGTTATTGCTCCCATTCATGCCACGGCTCAAAAAGTACTATCCGCCCATGGGGAATGGGAAATATTATAACACCTCACCCACAGATTCTGTGTCTTGATTGGCCGAGAGCGAGTCACATGTTACTTTCTAATTTTGCTATCTTTCTGTGCACGGCCAAAAGTACTATGCGCATAGCAACCAAAGTACTATACCATTAGCAACCAAAGTACTATTTCCACGGCGCGGTATTTGTGTGCAAATGGATGCTGGTGTGCGCGTTGCGCGTTGCGCGTAGCGCGTATTGTTCCTAAGAGAGCGCGCCACAGACTTGGGTTCGAACATTTCGTGAAGGGGTAGTTTGGAAGACAGAAATACATTTTCCACCAATTTTGTATTGAAATTGAAGTTATTTCAACTGTGTTCAGATTTAAATAATGTTAAATATTAAAATCAAGCAGAATCTGTGGGTGAAGTGTTATAAAACAAATATTTAATGCTTTATCTCGTAGTGAAGTAAAACTAGCCTCCCTCGGTGATCCATGGACCATTCTATTTCCCCTCGGCTTCGCCTCTGGAAAATAGAATGTCCATGGATCACCTCGGGAGGCTAGTTTTACTACACCACTCGAAGCATTCAATATTTGTATACTATTCAACAGTTAGGATCATGACGCGGTATTTGTGTGAAAATGCATGCTGGTGTGCGCGTTCAGCGTTGCGCGTAGCGCGTATTGTTCCAAAGAGCCAGCGCTACAGCGTTGGGTTCAAACATTTTCGTGATGGGGTGGTTTGGAAGAGACAAATACATTTTCCTCCAGGTTTGTATTGAAATAAAAGTTCAAATATATCAAATGACAAGGATCTATATGTCAGTTATATAAAACAAATATTGAGTGGCTTTAAATTGTGAAATGGGAGGAATATTATCGCTCGGTAATATCTGGACTTTTCCATTTCACGAGGCGAACCTCGTGAAATGGAAAAGTCCAGATTTTACCTTGCGATAATATTCCTCCCATTCCACGCTGAGCCACTCAATATTTGTATACTGAAGGGTTTTTTTAAGTTTAATCGACTATTCATAAATACCTCAGACAGTTTAGCCATTTCTATTGGTCGAGATCCCGTCACGTGGCCGGTCTTAAACGGATGATAAAGACATGGCTAGCTGGTCTTAAACACTTTTCCAGTGTTACATAAAATATGGACTCCTAAATATCCAGCGCCTCTTACCGTTTCATTGGTTGAACGTTCACAATCCTCACGTAGGCATGTGCAACTGCCAGTGAGTCAGAATTTTAAAGTTCTAAATTCAAAACGCAACGCCCCAGGTGCGTTCTGCGCGACATCGCGCAGAACGTGCTACGCGCGCGTCAATTTCCATAAAAGGGTTGTTTACATCTTACTCGCCAGCTGAACACTCCATTATTTTGCTAGAGGGATGTTTCAAAAAGCTGGAGTGAACTTGTTGATCAAAATCGGGATTTTTTGAACGAATTACTTGATTTGTTTTTACCGAAAAGGTATTTATGAATGGGAATAGATATGTGCTCGGTCGGTATTAATCACTCTGTTTAAGACTGCTAAGAGTCTGGGTGCTGATAATTACCCTCGCCTCCGGCTCGGGTAATTATCAGCACCCAGACTCTAAGCAGTCTTAAAGCTACAGTCCATCATTTGTAATTTGTGCATTTTGTTCGTTTGAAGCAACAAAAGAGTTCAAAATCTAATGAAGGATACTGAGCAACTAACCTGATGAAGTTTCAGCTAAGCTTCAGCTGTACATTCCGAGAAAAGCAGCATTCTAAGATCTCAAGTTCAAATCAAAAGTTACTGAATCATGTTTTGAATTGCAACTATACGCGTTGTCGCGCACTGTTCCGACGAATTATAACAACCGCGCGCGCGTGTGCGTCGTTCCAATATTTGTGCGCGCTGCGCTGAATAACAAAACGAACTACTAATGCTTCTTAAGAATCACCGTTGGAAATGCCTTCTTTCGTTGATTACTTCAAAATGACAGCTTGCCAGAAAGAATAATTTCACTGGGAGTTTAGTTCCCTTACTATCTTTGAACCAAGTTTGTTTTTCGACAATAATTACGCCAGTTACTTTTCGGATGGCTGCAAATGATGGACTATAGCTTTAAACAGAGTGATTAAAACCTCTCGAGCACACATTTATTCCCTTATTATTGGTACGTGCAAAACTCTGCCTGTTATACAGACCGAGCACTATTTTTTATATATAACTATATGCAGAACACTTTCCTTCATTGTGTTGATGGAGGAAAGGGGACGACCTTTCGGGAATTGCCCACTATCTTTGTTCAAAACCTACTTGGATTAAAGTATCGAATAAAACTAAACTGTTTCCCAGTTTGACCCATTGGCGGATCCAGCGGGGGGCGCAGGGGGTGCACGCCCCCCCCCCCCCCCCCCCTCCCCGGCAAATATTTTAAAATGTATACTATCGGTGAAAAACGGACGGTGATCCGACGGGCCACGCGTTTTGAGTTTGAGTAAGAATAATCATTCAAAAGGTGTGGCAATTTTCACGCACCTCCTAAGACTTTATATGCGCAGGTTATGATGGTTGCACGATACGCGGATAAAACCCAGGTAAGACAAACTGTAGTGGAGTCTCATTTCGCGTATTGTTTAGTGCGTCATACGTCCATGAGACTGCACGCGGACAACTGCCGCGTACAATGCGTATGAAGGTCAAACCGTTTTCACGCTCTGGGCTTGGTGACTAAACAAAATCAAACAATGGCCACTTCAGATTCTATTAAAATATTTTTCTAATACGTTTCATGCCAGTTTGTCACGCTCCTCAAATATGGATCCCCTGTAATGAAATATTCAAATTCATGTCAGTTATGTGACCGAGAGCGGAACAATTGCAAATTATGTGCATGTTCTCAACTTTAAAGAGGTTGTGGAATGCTCGAAGACATTTCCGTCATTTTTCGGGTATATGTAGCCTAAGGTGTGATGAAATAAAAACGACTATTGTTTCTGTCATAAAATGAGTACAAAAGGTAATTTTGAGAGCTGTTTTTCAAGTCCTGTCATGCCTGTTTCGACCCGAACGTGCCATTTGTGTAAAAGTCGTCGTTGCGGGCAGCAAACAAAACACAGTAAATTGTGACGTAATAAACAGGACTCCCGATGCAGAGTAGTAATACGAGTCCTGTTTATTACGTCACGATTTACTGTGTTTTGTTTGCTGCCCGTGACGACGACTTTTACACAAATTGCACGTTCGGGTCGAAACAGGGCCTGAAAAACAGCTCTCAAAAGTACCTTTTGTACTCATTTCATGACAGAAACAATAGTCGTTTTTATTTCATCACACCTTAGGCTACGTATACCCCAAAAATGACGGAAATGTCTTCGAGCATTCCACAACCTCTTTAAGCTTTGAATACAGAAGACACTTTATAAGAGCAAGAGTATATAGGCCTTTATGTATTTGAAACAAATGAAACAAAATATCCCCTCGTATATTTTAAAAACTTAAGCTAAACAAATCAGGGGAAAGTGGCCAGGAAACGCCTCAGATTGCACCACAGAGCATCTACGATCCAAAATTTCCCGGGGCCCTTAAGCGGGCCCCAGACCCCACGCCGTAAGTGCTTCGCGCTCCGCGTCCGCGCTCCCATTAGTCCTCCGGCCAAATTTCCTCTATGCTATAATGGACCGATCCAGTATTAAGCCCCTCCCACTGCGCACGTGGCAAATTAACACGTGCTCCTTTCCAATGCCACACTGCATTTTTCTGCCGCGCGCATCATACGCGCGTGCACGCATGTCGGACTTTTGTGCACGCATGTCGGACATAAATCACGGCTGTGATTGGTCAGAATATCATGGGGCGGTGCTTACTGGATCGGTCCATTTCACCCTAGCAGTTCCCCCACCTTATTTTGTACCTTCGGCAGCGAATAGCTGAGGCTTGGACTACAAGTGCCTAAATCCCTTTCCAAAA